GGGGCCCAGCGGGGAAGGGGTTACAAAACAAGGTAGAAATGATAACGAGGTGCGGAACGCGTCGGGAGGCTGAAGGAAGAAAAAAACAATATAAACTCAAATATAGGTGGCTATGTTAAAAACGATAGCCCGAAAAAATAACAGCTCTAGCGCATGCGGAGTGAAGAGGATTGTACATATAATTGTAATACTGTAACAATAAAATGGGAAAGTAAAAATATCAAGGGGTCATTTGTTCCATGAGGGGGCTCTTCATGCAGGGGTGGACCGTTTGTTATATAATTGCATTTTGCGCCCGTAACGTGGCACCAGAGGGAGTTAGTGAAAGCCAAAGCACTTCGGCCTTTTCAATATTTTTTTTTTTTTAATACGTAAAAGTATGTCATATAATAATATATTTTGTATGCACAATTTTAACAATTTGCACTAGCGCAAAAATAAATTAGTAAGCAAAATATTTGGTAACTGTTTGGGGATTTTTTAATTATTATAGGGTTACCATTAACATTATCACAAAATGCGAATAGCCATATATTTATACATTATTATGTAAGTACATAATTTGACTGGTCCAATATTTTTTTTATGCCTTTACTGTGGTCCAATTTAGAGAACCGCAAATAATAAATTCATTCACAAAAAGTTTTCTCAGTTGTGGCATTGTGTACATAAATTTGCCAATTTCAGGAGGAACATGTTAAAAAAAAAAAAATTAGCAAGTTACTGGTTAAGTGGACACGGCAACTGCAACAATTTGTAGCAATTGGAAGCAATTCCGATTCGGGATAGCGTCTTTAAAATGCTACATAATATATTTGTACGTAAACATATATGTGTCCATGCACATAAGTTTTTTACATTTTCATGTGTTGTTGCGTGAATGACCACCTCGTCGTGAGCCCACCCTTTAGCGCAGCAAAAATGCGTGTCCCCTGGGAATAGAAGTAAAAGACCGCATGAATAAAGATTGTAAAGACATACATGATTCCCCCCCTATACGTACGTAAAGGAAACGGCGGAACACCCATACCTGCATATACATAAATGTCTGCAAATGTACAAGTATTCATGCTTGTCTCTATTGAGGGGAATATTAAACTGATTCAAATTCTTAAATGTGAATTTTGGTTTATTGTGTTATCAAATAATAAAGCTCTTTTCTGTTTTTTCCTTTTTTCTGCCAAAGTTCGTGTGAGCTGTGAAAATGGTGAGCACATAATCGTGCTACATACACATGCAATAGCAAGGGAATTATACACGTTACACATGTATATGTACAAGTGCATCTGCGCACACAAAAATGCTTGTGCTTAGCACCCAGCACGTGCTCAAGCGATTTGCGAAAAGAGAGAAAAAAAAGAAAACACGGATATGCACTTACTATTAAAACCGTTGACCGCCCGTCATAAATACAGGTAGAAAAGACCTGCGCCCTTTTACGGTTAACATGTATTCCGACGCAAGCGCAAAAGGGAACTTAAAAATATAAATTAACAAGCTTTGGCCAATGTACACGTTGCATTAATAGTGAACATTGGCTCATTAAAAAGGTGAATCAAACTGAACGGCTCTAAAAAAAAAGGAAGCACCGTTGCATCAAAACGAAGGTGCAAAACAAGGATATTACAATGGCACAAAAAAAAGTACACACACAATATATACAATCATGTGCGGGTATAACCACTTTGAACGAATTTAATTTTGTATAACAATGAAAAAATGAGGGCAGAATTTGGTAATGAAGCCGGAGTAGATGCTGCTGCTGGCGAGGAGCACTTTACGGAGGTGAAAGAACCAATCAACTGCACAAACGTGGAACTGCAGTGTACGGTCTCTTCCCAAATTATTCAAAGCCCATAATGGATGCAAGGTACGGTGGGCTAGGCAAAAAGGTCTTCTAAATTTTTTTTTGTTTTATTCTTTTGAGCCTTGAATGTGTTATAGTGTACTTCACTCTTCGTGGATAATTTGACTTGGCCATTCTGCGTCAAATCACTGGTGTTCTTGGTCATATTTATTGTACTGCTGCTTACTCGTTTTATGTTTGCCATTTCGCCAAATTGGCCTTCTCCATTGTAGCTACTTATGCAAGCGGTCTTGTTCTGATGGCCCCAAGGGCAATATTCCGGCCTTGCCTCATTGGTATCGTTCAAATTGTAAAAAAAATCATACTGATTATTCACATTGTCTGCACGATTCAATCCGTTGTTTCCTTTATTACCATCCATATCGTCACGGAAAACATTGACCAAGTTTGCATTTTGGCTATTTTGAGACGTCCCTGTTGCTTTTGCAAAATTACTATTATTATTTTCTATAAATAGGACATTATCATTTCGATGCACCTCCCCAGTATTGTTCATAACGTGTGTATTGTTATTATGTTCTTTATAAAATGGCTTCTCCTCATATCTTTCTTCGCTTGGTGAGGGAACACCCGTTTTGTTATTAGCAGCTGGGTTGTACGAATATACAGAGTAGTTAACTGCGTAATCACCCTTGGCATTGTAATTAGGTCCATTTTTTTTTTCATTATTACTTTGATACATGTATAAACTATTTCCATTCGATGTATTATACGTGTTATTAATTTGTGGGCTGTTACCATTTTCGTGGTTAAATGGATTCATTTGAGTTCTACTGTTGCTACCATGATAGGGGTTGATTTCAGGGTGGTTAAACTTTTCCTTATCGTTGAAATGGTTGTCGTTACTAGTGTGGAGGTTGGATCCACCATAGTGATGGGTGGCACGATTTACTGACAAAGCGTTATTCATCATTGCACTAGAATGACCGTGGTGTAATTCTTCCTCTCCCTTATTAAAGCCATATGCACTTTTTGCAACCATCTCTCCGTTTCCATCTCCTGACGGATGCATAAAAGGTTGGTTACCTGGATAACCTGCACTTGCAAATTTATGTGCGTCACTTTGGATTTCAATCTGCTTGCCATCATTTACGCCATTCGTTATGACGTCTATTTCTCCTTCCTCAATTTGCACATTATTGGGAAGGGTATTATTGGCTTTGGTACTGTTATAAAAGTTTTCGTCATTGGCATTCCCTTTAACATTCTTTTCATCATTTTCATTTTTGGACCACAATTCTGTGTCATTGCCGAAATTGTCACTTAGATTTTTCTTTTTTGTTTTTTTGGTGGAGAAAATATTTTTCCATTTGCTTTTTTTCTTCTCCTTTTCAGTGTCTACGCTATCTTTATTTTTATCATCAGGTGATTCTGTGGGTATATCTTCGTTGTCTTTCCCTGTTGGAAAGTCCCCCTTGGGATTGTCATACGGGCCGATATCGTTGGGTGCTAAATTATGAGGGCCTTCTTCTCTATCGAATATCTGCTCATTATTAAAACTCTGTTCCGCCATACCTTCTACAATATGCCTGGTGTTGTGGACACCTTGGGGAGCTTGCTTAAAGTGGCCATTTGCCTCCCCCCCCGCGTTATGATCCACGAGAACGTTCCAATGCACATCGGTATGCACACCGGTATGATTACCACTTGCCAGGCCGCTCTCCGAATGATGCATAACCATATTCACATTTTTACTTCTTACATCACTCGAACGTTCTTCTCTAACCTCGGCTGACTCTTCCGAATAAGGATTAATCTCCATGGTCATATTGCCCATCAGGTCAATCTTGTTATCAGGTAGAGGGCTATCCACGTGGAAGTTACTCCTATGGGAGGAGTCTCCCTTGGTGCTATTTTTTCCCTTTTGACTCGATGTGCCACCATCAGTAAGGACGGACGCGGGGCCATCGCTACGAATGGACATTGGACCGTCAACGTTATCCCCAATATTGTCGCTCCTTTTAGGGAATTTTCTCGCCTTATCCATGCCTGTCGTCACTTCCTCCTGTAGCTCACCCTCTCCGCCACTCTCAAGCGCCCCACTTAATGATCTACGACTGGCCTCTTCCTCCAACTCTAAATCGTCACTAACGGAGGTGGCCTTCCCCAAAAGGTCGACTTCTCCTAGTGAGCTCTCTGCATCATCCGAAAAATGAGTCTGTCCGACAGTTGCATGCAACTTATCCATCATATCGTCAATGTCGTTTATGTCTGTGTTTATGTTGTTAAGGGCGCTTATTATGCTAGTACTATCGTCCATTTCCTTCTTCTCTTTTATTTTTTTAGCGTTTATTTTTTTCTGGATGATACTTTCGAACAAGCTTATGCATTCATTAATTTTGTCATTAATGGAGAGAGAAGCAACATTATCCACATCAGTGTTCGCCTGTCCATTAACATTTCCATCCCCCTTCGAATGCATCTGACCTATACTTTTTCTTCCCTCGCTAGCTGCATTTATTAATTCCTTAAAATGATCGACAAGGCTATTTTTATACTTGTTAATTGTCTCATTTATTTGTTCATCCAGTTTATGCTTAGTATTGTTGAGAACGTTATCAATGGAAATTTCTTCAGCCATATTTTCATTTTGCATCTTATTATTCTCTATGGTCTGTCGCAACATGAGCAATTCGTCTTTGTATTTTTGCTCTAACTTGTTTGTGATTTCTTGTGTAACTTCGTTCCTGATTTGTTCTCGTAATTCGCTAAGATAATTATCATTTAGCAAATTGGAATTTAAATTGTTCCCACTGACATTGAAGGCTGACTGGGGATCTTCCATTTTGTTATCATCCGGTCTGTCTGGTATAGGGCTTGTTAAGGTGCATTCCGTTTGGACTTGGCAGTCTACTAATTTTTTTTTTTCAAATGGGGGAATCACAGGTTGTTGCATAGTGTTAATACTTGTCGTTTTGTTTAAAACTACTCTTCCCCCTTGTTGCTGTATCATCCTGTGTTCATTATTAACATTGCTCATGCTGCCCATAACGCCCATGTTACTGATGCTGCTAGCGTTGCCGGTATCATTACTTCGAAGCGCCTCCTCCGGTATGGGTCCCCGGGGAAAGGACACGGTAGCACTTTTCGGATTTATCATATGATAACTGTCTTTTATATTCCTGATCTGTTTTTTTAAAATAACATTTTCGTTGTTAAGATGAGAATATTCATATTTTAATTTCATAAATTTTAAATGTAGCATGTCCATTCTTTTTTGGTAACTGTCAATCGAATTGTTACTGGCACATTCTGTTTGCAACCCTTGTACTCTTTCATCATTTCTTTTAGCTTGATCGATTAGTTTTAATATTAATTTATTTTTTTTATCATTTTCATGCGCGCATAAGTATTGTTCCCTATTTTCCTGATGCACTAGATGTTTAAGTAAATCTAGGGATTGCTCGACGATCTGCGAATTGGGCTGCGTTTTGAAGCTATCATTAGATTCGAGGATGGATGTTTTGTTCAGTTTTTTTTTGTTATTGGTGTAAAAAGAAATGTTCGACATTCTATCATCAAAATTTCTCGATATGTTAGATGTCCTATTCACTTTTGGAGCAAATATATTTATGGACTGTGATCTGGGCGAATATATTCTGTGGGTAGATGTGTGGTTTCTTGTAGACCTGGCCTCGTTTGCTATTTTATTCATGTACATGCTATACTGCGGGTCGTAAGCTTTGTTACTGTAGTGGATTTCTGATCTTCCATCTGCGTCACAGTTGGAGTATGCGTAGCCGTTGTTATTTTCAAGTAGAAAATTGCTACTGCCCGGGTCATTTGGCATTCTTCCGTTATGGCCTACGTTGTGACTTCCGATGTGGTGACTGCCGGGATGATGGCTGCCGACGTGGTTATCGCCGACGTTGTTACCCCCAACATTGTTGTCGCTGACATTGTTGCTGTTAACAGTGTTGTCGCTAACATTATTGTTGTTTGCCTTATGGATGACTTCAGATTTCGTGCTCCTTATATTGGGTTTGCTTAAAAAGAAATTCATCTTTGAACTTTGTTTTTTTTAACTCGCTCAGAGGCATAAAAATAGGGGAGCGAGCGCACATACAAAAATATATTACACCGTATAACGGTTTGTATTTATGCGGGAAAAAAGCTGAATTGGGGGTTAATTAGCGCGCTAAAGAACTCATTTTCCCTTATCTTCGCTAAACTCAAATATTTTTACTCTGAACACGAAAAAAAAGAGAAATCAAACAGCGCATTAAAAATGGAAAATATATAATATGCCCATGTAAATAAACGCATATGTATGCATAATATATATATCATACAAATTTAGAGGTAAAAAATGTTTTCGGAAATTATTTTCCTTAACTTTGGAAAAAAAAAAAAAAAAAAAAAAAAAATACATGCGCCAAGAAAAAAAAAAAATGTTCATTCGTTAAATATGTATTATTTTGCTGCACATAAAAAAACGCATTTACGCGCTTGTATAAAAAAAATACGCATATTGGGGTATAAAAAGTATTTACGCAAATTACAAACAAATCACTTTTTTGAATTTGGTTAGTACCTTTACAATTACAGAGGCCGAATTTTATTTTTCCCCCGTCATCATTATTGTCCGGGATGGAACGAGGGAAACAGGCGCAATGTGGAAAAGAGCGAGCACGTATACATACACAAATAATGTGTTACGTGCATTCGTATATTCTCATATGTAGGAAAAAATTCCCCTAGCATTGTTGGAAAACATGCGCGAGCCCACTTATGCATTTTTGCAAACCATAATGATATGCATATATACGTATGTGCACAAAGCTCGATGTCGAGGATGGGTCTTGAGAATTAAGAAAAGGCCAAAAGAATGACCACCTGAAACGTATACAATGTTGTGCGTTCACACCTACCATAAGCACACGGTAGTGTTTAAATTAATGATCAGTTAATGCCTTTGCCATCCTGGTGAAACCAATTCAGTGTGATAAAAAAATGAAAGTGGTCCATAGACATTTCATTTTCTTTTGTTAAAAATTCGTAAGGATAAGTGTTTGTACACGGTTAACGAATGGCAACAATAAAAGAAAGGATGTTCCGTTCGAAATTATAACATAACTCAGCTTTCCCTCGTTCTCCAATAGAAATGATATCCAGAAGGGGATTCATTTGTTAATGAAACATGCTCATTGTCTGTTCTTTTGAGGGAAAAGTTTTCTAGCGTATCACTATGCACAGCAACGTGATTTTTACACATTCCACGCTGTGACGCTTATTTTTTTATCTTTCCAAATGGTTATAAGGAGGACAAAAGGTTCTGATCGGAACTTGAATGAAACGAGAATGGGCATTAACGTGTGGCTAAAATTGTGAGCTGAGCCCTCTATAAAAATGTACCGCCAAATTTTAATCCTGTCTGGCAATAAAATGAAAGGATGCGCGATAGGCAGCTCACTAATAGGTAAAAAAAAAAAACTTATTAAAAAACAGGTTTTCTTTTAGACCCCCTACACGCGTCCTATTTCTACCGCAGTATAAAAAACTAAAAATGAATACACGTTCCCATGTGCAACGGTAAAAAGATGGATAACTTTGTTTTCCTCAGCGTCTTAAACACTAAAATGTTTGTCTACGCGATTTTTTTTCTTTTTTTTTTTTAATTTGCGCAAGTATCATTCTTACCTTGCTTGACAATATTAACTTAAAAATAGGAGTAAAAAAGGCCGTTCACTGTTAACACATTCTAAGCTAACATTATATTTTAAGCAAAATAAAAATAAGGCGGCTCGTGGGGGAAAAGCTACACATTAAATATAAATGTGTCCACAATGCTTTAACCCTTTGAGTATTTTTGCCAAATTAGCAAAAAAAAAAAAAAAAAAGAAAATACGCTCTTTCCTGCTGCGCTCGCCGAATTTGCTCTTCTTGTAATCACGTCACCCCGGCAAAATGAGCAATTACATGAAACCAAGGGTGCGAAGCAGGTTTGGCGAAAATGACAAAAATGACGAAAATGTTCTAATTGATGAAAAGAGTAAAAATATTAGCCGTAGAAATAGGAAGGTTGCAGACATCTATTATACAAACAAAAAGTTAAATGAAAAGTTAAAAGGGAAATCGAGTATACTTACCGGCAGTGGGGGAAAAACGCAGCTGTCTAGTAAGGAGGGTACTTCCGTAAAACATATAGGTGGCCATACTTCCCAGAAAGAAGAACGAAAAAAGGCTGAAAATGAGAACAACACCAAGGAAGGAACGATGAATGAGTCCGCAAAGGCAGAAGGAGCAACCAAAGAAATTGATAAGTTAGAACAAAAGAAGAAAGAAATTAAAGAATTGGCCAACCTGTGCCTGGAAAAGAACTTATCAGTTAACAGTGAAAATATCCAAATTGTCAGAAAATTAAAAGAAAAAAGAATGCTAGAAGAGCAAATAAATAAAAATGAAAACATCAAAAATTTACAAGAAAAGAGAAGAATCTTGGAAGAAATAGAATATCACGAATGGGCAGACAGGGAAAAAAGAATAAAAGAATTACAAGAAAAAAAAATGAAATTGTTAAAAAAAGTAATGATACAAAGAGACACAGAAAAAGCAGATAAAATATTTTACGAGGTCGAAAAAATTGTTCAAAATAGAGATAAGAATAAAGATAAAATTATCGAAAATTTTGAAAAGGAAAAAGCAAGAGATATGAGAAATTTATTTGTAGAAAGGAAAAATAATATGAAAACAATTTTTAATGAAAAAAAGGACATAGTCGATCATATGAATGATCACACTTCAAACTACAACTTAGAACTGGAAAGAAATGGAACTGTTCCAAAAAAAATAAACGAAAAGACGTCAAACAAAATTGACAACCTCCTCAACTTGAATGACCTCAACGACTTGAACATCGATTTGGATAAATCATACACACAGGGGGAAAAGAAGTACGACAAGTCCTCTAAATATGAAGAGAAAAAGAATAAGCAAATCATTGACACATTTTACAGATATTTAAATAAAGAGGAAAGCAAATACACATCAGACGAATACGTGTTGGGAGAATCCATCAAGACGCAAAAAAAACCACAGTGCATGAAAATTAACTTCCCCTCGATAGAGGTCAAGTCCAGTCAACAAGACATATTCGAAAAAAATATTTTGCAGTTACAAAATGTGCTTAGGGGAAAAGCTATAAAAATGTTAATGAATGATGGAAAAGAATCTTACAGCGATTTAATTGAAGAATTAAAAGCGTACGAAAAAATAGATCAAATTAGTGCAAAGGAAAAAGATCTATTCGAAAAGGAAAATTTTGAAGAAATAAAAGTTGATTCTTACTTAGAAAATGTGCAAGGCAAATACATATCTGAATTGCTAGATTCTTTATCCAACGAATTGGAGAAATATGAAGAAGAAAGGAAAATAGCCGTGCTCGTCAAATATGCAGAAAGGGAAAGAAGATTAAAGGAATGCAAAGAAAAGGGAAAAAGACAAGCTGAGTTTCTATTGAGAGAAAAGGAAGATTATATATTCAATGAAATTATGGGACTAAATAATCAAACCGTTGATTCTTACTTGGAGGACATTTTAAGTAAAGCAATCAATGACGCATCCAAGGAAGAAGCTCTGATAAGGACCAAAAAAAAAGCTGAACAACTCAACCAAATTTACAACTCATTAGATAATAATAGCGATGAAAATAACAAACTCATAGTCAAAGATCTGGTCGGTAATTTTATCATTCCTTATGTAGATAAACAGAGGGGATTACAGTTTGACTTGTTAGAACAGAAGAAAAATAACTGCGTGTCGAATTTTGCAACACAGCACGTGTTTTCCAAAATTAATGAAGCTTTCTAAAAAGGGGGGGAAAAAAAAAATAAAATAAACGCAAATTTTGCAACAAACGCGGGATAGAATAATCATCATAGTGATTCATATTTTGGCTATTCACCTATGGATGGGCTTTCCATCCCATTTTGGCTCTCTTGCGTACAACATAGCGCAATGAGAAAAAAGTACATACATGAATACATATATCGTGCTCTATTTGAACTATCTATGATGCAAGGATAATTAATTAGGGAGAAAAGTCAAGCTAGACGAATGCGTAGACTGAATATTCTATACGCGAATAAATGACACACCATGCATCCAACTAATTTGCGTTGCCCCTCGGGGACTCATTAAACCACACAGATTGCTTATGTACAAAACTTGGCTATTTACGTGAGGAATGACACGTGTATCTGTTACATACGTTGGAGTAAAATCGGTGTCACCATTAAGGAGTCGTCATTCCTCAGGGGAGGAATTACCGAACGTACACTAATACATCCTTATACCATTTTTTTTAAGAACAATTAAGAGAGGGACCATTCAAATGTGTGGGCTTTTTTAGCATGGTCTTAGACTTTGCTAAACCTTCCGTTTTTTCATCTTTAAAAATTAATTTTTTTTTTTTTATCAACATGAATAACGATAAAATGTTTGTAGTACAAGTGCGTATTTCACGTCATTGTTCCTTTTTATAAAATATACATTTGTCTAAAGAACGCGTAAGGACATTCCACATGCTGTCAAATTCGAAAGATAAAGAAAACTTTTTTTTTTTTTTTTTTGCCGCTCACTTGCTGGGCTCTGAAGAGGGTCATTATGAAGTGCATGACTGGAGAGAGCTCGGTTCGTTTAAAGATACGTCCCTTTATGAACAAACCAAAAGAATGTGCCTCCCAAATAGTGAAACACTCGCTCGATACAGAAATTAAACTGTGCTAGAATGAGTTAAACTAAATTTGAAAAATTTGCGTGAGCATTTTTCCCTGTATCGTTAAATGCACTTGGTCGAATTGAAAAAAAGGGACAACTCGAGGTGACAAGCCCGCAATGAACGTTAAAGCACGGCTGAGTAACCCCTTGGCATGAAAACGTTTTTGCGCCCGTCAAAATTGCGAAATTTTAATTGCACACACATTTGGTTTACGAAGTTCGCAAGTTGTTCATTTGAGCAATGCGGGCACATCGCACCGTGTGTGCTCCCGGGTTTCACAGTGT